GCTAGTTAGTGTCAACTTGATAAAAACTGCATTTATCTGGAAAGAAGTAACATCAACTGAGGAATTGCCTCCATCAGATTGGCCATGAGCAGATCTGTAGGATATTTCCTTGATTAATGACTGACATAGCAGGCCCAACCCACTGTGCATGGTTGCCACCCTGGGGCAGGTAGTCTTGTGTTATAGAAGAAAGTGAGCTGAGCAAGTCATGGGATCAAGCCAGTAAGCAGCACTCCTCCATGGCCTCTGCTTCAGCTCCTGTGTCTAGGTTCCTGCCTAGAGCTATTGTCTTCACTTTTCTTCCATAATGGACTGTAAGCTATAAGGTGAAGTAACCCTTTTTCTCCCCAAGTTGCTTTGTAGTTCTGGTGCTTATATCACAGCAACAGAAGATAATCAGGTCCCTTGGGAAAAATACTGGAAAACTGTTCAGATTTAAATCTGAAGTGTTACCCACAGACTCATTTGTTTAAACACTTGGTATCCAGAAAATGGTGCTATTAGGAGGAGTTTGTGGAGTTTGGGGGGTGGGATACAGCAGCCTAGTTCAAAGTAGTCACTGGGGGTGGCCTTGAAACTGCTGCCAGTTTCTGGTTCTTGTCTGAGTCTGATTCATCAAGAACTAGGAAGCTGTTGTGATGTACTCCAAGGACCATGAAGCTGCTCGGCCATCCCTCTCCCTCCACCATGGGCTAAACTTCCCCCCTTAAGCTGGGTCTGTTGGGTATTTTAGCACAGTGATGATAAATACCTGAGAGAGATAACTAGCAAGGTTGAAAACACACATGTCCCAGACTTTGACCCTCGTGATAAAAAAAAAAAAGAAAGAAAGAAAGTAGCATTGCTCTTATGAGGAAACTGACAAGTCCAGGAGGGGGTTCTGCTGAACAAATGTTGTGGCTCCAAACATCCAGTGTCAGGTACAGAACCAAGGAGTTCCAGGTTACAGGAGAACAAGTCACAACTGAAGGGATGCCCAGTGTATAAATTCTATGGGGGAAAAGCAAAGACAAGATAAAAAAATTATATTTAAGGGCATTATTTTCCTTACAATAGGAAACTTTTGACTGTTACATAGTTAATGGATTCCAGATAACGGTATTGTGTTAGTGCTAAATTTCTCCAAGGTGACATTTTGCTTGTTTGTGTAAAATACCATTTTCTCATTAGAGGAGAGATGGAGATTGATTTAAGGGTAAGTTTCTGCAAATTGTCCTCAAATGTGTGTGTGTGTGTGTGTGTGTGTGAGAGAGAGAGAGAGAGAGAGAGAGAGAGAGAGAGAGAGAGATCAGTAAAATATTAATAATTAAGGATTTGTGGATAAATCCCATAACTTTCAGCAGATTTCAAACTTTTCAGAATGGAATTTGGAGAGACAAGAATTTTTAAATTTAATTTTATTTTATTAGTTCAAATTAGGAAAAATCTTGCTTCAGATGTCAATCCCTTCTCCCTCTCCCTCTCCCACCCCTCCCCCCAACATCCCACCTGCCCCTAGCCATCCCCCCTCCACTCCCCAGGCAGGGTAAGGCCCT